TCTTAGGTAAGGCAAGATCTACTCTTAAGGTTCATATTTAGGGGGTAAATGTGCTTAATGCATTATAAAGCTAAAAGCATTAGAATCGGTACTCAGTATCAGCCGATCACCATTTACATGGAATCGGTACTCAATTTTGTTATATATACAGTATATACATAAAAAGTATGTAGATGATTGATTAGTTCTAGTCACATGATCAGAGGTGTGCTCACATTCTGAATAGTAGAGATGTTTTCAACTAAGTGTACATTAAAAACACGAGCATGCTATGTCTCCATTTGCGCACACACACCTCCATTGAAAATAATGACCTTGCCTTTGGAATAAGACGTGATTTGTGAACGGCCCCTTACTCTCAAGACTGAAAATATAAAAACGACAAGGAATAGTTAAATCAGGATGCTAAAATAAACAACAACAACAAAACCCATCTCTCATATGTCAGTGAGCACTCCAGATTCCAAACAATAAGAAGTGTGCGTTACGTTTCGGGGTCCCCAATACATTTCCATTGCAGTCTTTGCAGTATTTGCAGCATATTTCTCTATTTGCATTTATTGTGAGAATTTGTGTGTATGTGTGTTGTTAAATTGATGGAGGTTTTTTTTTTTACTTGCAGCACATTTGAGCTTTCTCAGTCCCCATGGAAAAGCATTTATTGCAAATGCAACATTGTCTAAATGAGGAAAGAGACATAGCTGAACAAGGCAACACTTGGGAGATTCTTCCGGCTAATGAAAGAACTAAATCTAAGTTGTGGTTATAGTTTGGTTTGTATCAAGTAAACTTAATCAAAGATGGTCATTTAGAGCTTATTCATGCTGATATAACTTCAATAAAATGAATCATTTTTAAATTGGCAGCACTTTCATACATTGACACTAGAACCAGAATTTAAGACTGCAGACAGATTTGATTTTCTGATTTAAGGTATTGGTCATTCTCAGTGGTCCATGTTTATGTTAGTTATCAAAAGATTTTATAAACTTTCAAATGGTATAACGATATTATCAAATGATTAACTAAAACTTTTAGCTCAATAAACTACTCATTAGCTGCATAATAACAGTATGGTAGTAGTTGGGTAGGATTAGAGATCATAACTTTTATTTGCTAAAATAAGATCATACTTAAAGAGTGCTAATATACAGTTAATATCTTAAAAATAGTCAGGTAATAAGCTAAAAGTAAATGGTGTCAGTATCAGATAAGCAGTAAAGTAACAATTTATAAATGCTCAAATTACTGTGCGTAGTTTTTATCAGAAACTGTAATTTACTAAGTAGTTTAAAAAAATGTGTATTTTTACTTTCCCTTGAGTGGATTTTTAGTGCTGCATCAGTACTTTTACTCCACTACTTTCCTTCAACCTGCAGTCACTACTTTATTTTTTCCTGTTTATGGGAATTAGAAAAAGCAGTCCTGTGATTCCTGTCCAATTAAATTACACATAGAAGATAAATCACATCATAATCAACTACCTCACGACATGGGCGATTTCAAATTGCAGCAAACAATTTGGAAGCATTAAAGAAGATGGCCAAAATCTTTGCACACATTAACCTGAAGACTGTTTAGATGCAGGTCACAGATGAGAAGATGACAGATTTTTACTGTATGATGACCAAAATGGTCCAGCAGGCACAAGACGTCTACATGTCGTCAGATTGACTTTGTACCCTAAAATCATAGACTTTGAATTTTTTTTGGAAGTGAAAATTGGGTTGACGTCAGGACTCAATGTCAGGCCAACGTCAATGTCCAATGTCCTACCTAAAACCAATAAAATATCAACGTCTAATAATTGTTACTGTTTGACGTTGTGTGGACTTTACCACCATGATGTCTATCAGACATTGGATTTTAGTTGCCATACTTGATGAATAAATGTCAGTATTTGACGTCAATATGATGTTGGAATTTGGTCACTTTCTTAAACCTAATATCAACTAAATATCTATGTCATTTGATGTCATTGTTGGACGTCGAAATAACATTGTCCTTAGACATTGGCTAGACGTTGAATTTTAGTCACCTGATATCACAACCTAAATCTAACCTAATATCAACGTCTTATGACATTGTGTGCCTGCTGAGTAATGACTATATGCACTACAGAATGTTACGTTTACACACACATCCACAAATTACATGTAAATGTGTCAGCTTTTTATAGTGTATTACTCACTACTCCCAAGTACTTTTGAAAGGGCTACTTTTTACTCATACTTTGAGTAATATTTACAACAGATGCATTTACTCTATTGCACTACATTTTTAGGTAATTAATGGTACTTTTACTTGAGTATGATTTTTCAGTACTCTTTCCACCACTGCAGATAAGCCTAAAAAAAGTCATTAAGTGTTCGCCAAGGGTTCGTATAAGAAAACATTAAAAAATATATAACACACTTGAACAAAACCATGATAATCATGATAATTTAAGTCACATTATTACAGTCACTATTGGCAAACAGCCACAAAAATAGCTAAAGTCAACATATTTGACCAATCTCTGCCTAACTTTGCTTAATTCTCAGGTTGAATTAGTCATTTGACCTTCCACTTCAAAACAAAAACTTACAAATTACTTGGTAAATACACATCCATGTTATTTAAAAATGTGATTTTCATGATTATCAGTAATAAACTTCAAATTCAAAAAGGTTTAACCATGGATATTTGCAAAATTAAGTTGATTTGACTCAGCAATTTCACTTGCCATGTGTATAGCATATATTTGAGTCAACAAATCAAAGTGTTCATTTCATTTAAATGATACAGCTGTCTGGTAAGAATAAAACATGCCAGAAATTAAGGGTGAGAGTTTCCTCAGTGAACTGACGCTGTTGTGCAAGTGCACCTGCCTATGAGTGTGGTTACACAAGTCTCTTAGATGTTTATTCAGTCTATGTTTGCCTTTAGTCATTCCAATGTTTTATCTAGGTCTAGTTCACCATTACCAAACCACATCGTGCTGGAAAGGATTTATTCCCACAAGTTCAACACAACAGCGTGGGTGACTAAATCCACATGTCCACACTAAGCAAGTTGCCTGAAGTTGCGATATAGACTATACATGTTCTGTAAGTGTTAGTTCTGCTTAAATCATTTAATAACTAATGGTACATATGCAAATATTTTATATAAATAAATTAACAATGTAGTTCTGGCTTTGCAAACTGTTGAAAGAATGTTTTTAAAGAAACAAAGTTATTGAAGATAAAATTGTTATTCAGGCCTGGTGGACCAGGACAAATAAACCAAACAAAACTATTAAAATACCTTCAAATTCTTGAATTAAAATGTTAACTGGTTTAAAATGGCTTTTGTTGAAAGTTCAACGAGTTGAAATATCTTGATCATAAGGTGTCTTTTTTAATGTTTCCTTACTTTTTCATATATTTTGGACAATGACTTTAATATTGTGTTTTTGAAGCATGATTTTTTTTGCTTTCAAGTTTGTATAGTAGTCAGCTTTTAAAATGATTCAGAAAGACAAGAATGATTGTTGTTTTAATAACTTTAGGACAAATGGGAAGGGTTTTGATCTTCAAATGTTGTGTAATACTATTTGCTACTTTTTTATTAATACATTAATTTATTTATTAATCCATATATCCATTTGTTTCTTTAATTGTGATTAATAGTTTAGGCAATGTGGCCATTTTTAACACATATTTATACATTTTGAATTAAAAAAAGTGAGTTTCATGTTCAACTTTGGTGTGCCAAAAATGTAAATCAATAGGAATGTATTATTTTTTTTACCCATGTAAGTATCTAGGAGGGATACAATCGTGGCAAAATATTTTATTTCAGATTGAGAGCTTTCTCAATTTCCTTAAAGTGCTTTACTTAAAAGAAAATGTTACATCTCTGTGATTTTTTTACACTCCCAGATAATAATAGTGATTATAAATTAAGTATAGGACATAGACTACAAAACATGTCATTGAAGATGCATCAATGTTTTCAAATAATAATGTGCATCATCCCCCTACACAATGATAAGTACATTTTCTGTACTAATATAAACCTTTAAAGGGACAGTTCTCACAATTTACTCACAGTGGATTTACATGTATTGATGTCTTTCTTATGTTGAACGCAAAACACTATGTTCTGAAGAACGTTTGGGTGGGAGATATTTGACATCTATAGTACACTCTCAGAAATAAAGGTAGAGCTATCACGGGGGTCATTGAGGTCACCTTTTCAAAAGGTATACATTTGTACTTGAAGGGTCCATATTGGTACCTCAGAAGTATTTGGTATCTAAAAATTTTAAGAGGAACCCTTTTGTACTTTTTAGGTACCAATGTGTACCCTTGCGGTTTTAATGTGGAAGGTACAAATTTGTACCTTTTGAAAAAAAAAAAAAAACATTATTCAATATACAGCAAAAATAATTCCAATGCACTTGAAAAAGTGTGAAAAAATATATTAAAAAAAGCCTATATTAATAATTTAAGGCTTTTAAATATGTTTTCCCACTTTTTGTTTGCCTTGGACGGATTTTTGTTTATTCTGATGAATCCCTTGCCCCAAATGGACACATTGTTTAAGCTACCCCGGAACACTTTTGTTTGATTTTTTGTTTTTTATTCTTCAACATATCTTCATTTGTGTCCAAAATAAGAAAGAAACTCAAAATGATTTAAAACAGGTGGAGGACGACTAAATGACATTTAGAATAAAGTAAAGCTTTTAAAAACGTACGTTACCACCAAAGTTCTGTATTTCTATAGTTTAACCTTAAATAAATAAAGCTACATTTATTAGGCATTTCCAAAGTTTATGTTTGTGTTTCTCGATAGCCTTAATCAGTTAAGTCCCTGAAAGCCTTTTTTTACACAAACAACAACACTGACATGTTTATGTTTCACTAGCGCGACGATTATGAGCAGCATAATCCATAATCCTCGTTTATCCATCAACGACATATACAAAAGCACGTGTGAATAACAGCGTGTTGTGTGGATAAAAAAACGTACCTGTACCACTCGAGTCCCTTCTCGTAGTTGCGGTCAAAAAAGTGCGGCTCCGCTCCCACAGCGCGGATATCAGGATGCAGGCGCAGAAACTCGAGCAGCGCGCGCGTCCCTCCCTTCTTCACCCCGATTATTATCGCTTGGGGCAACTTTTTGCTCTCGGACCCGTTCACGGCACCTGCTATCCCCGAGTCATCCTCGTCATAAGCGGCATCGCCCTTGTTTTCCTCCCAGCCATCTCCTCTGCTGTCGGCATCGCTATCGTTGTTTAGCAGGTCCCTGGACTGGCTTTTAAGGAGCATCTCCGGGTCTTGTCTTTGGAGCGCTCTCCTATTGCTCCTCTCGTCCATCATAAACGTCGGCGTGGTGGAGCAGTAGCCCACGCAGCAGTACAGCATGTACACCCACAGCGAGAGCATGATGCAGAAGACGAAAAGTTTGTTTTTCACCGGCTGAGCAGAGTGAAAGTGCGCGCTATATTCCATAGGGCTCTCCTGTGCGCAGTGTCCAATGAAACATATTGCCAAAGTTATGAGTTCCTCCGCAGAAGTCCCTGCAACGTGAAGGCATCTCCGCGGGACGGGGAAGATGAGGGCATGGGTCCCCGGGAAATGTATTCATTTCATTTTGGCGTTTGGACAGTGCCGGAGACGTAGGAAGTCACGAGCGCGTCTTTTTTGCGCATCACTCCATCGTCTCTCTCTCTGGCTCTCTAGACATCTGAGTGAACGACGGGCCATGAGCGGTATTTAAAGGAAAGGGGCGTGTGATTAGCAGCGGGGTTGACCAATGAGAGCACAGAGTCAAGTTCTGAAGCACTATTTAGTTATTCTTTGTTATTATTATTATTAATAATATTATTATTATTATATGCATTATTTACTTATGATTTAATTATTTTTATCAAAACTCTCAAAAATGGATTTAGTTTTAAAAATGAAAGAAATTGCATGCATAATTTTTTTATTGTTGTTGTTGTTTTTATTTATTTGATGACCAGATGGCTACATTTAATTCGTAAAAAAAAACATAATTGGTAAAAATATCAACAATTTAAAATAGTACTTTGATTTTAATATCTGAATATATTTTATATTTAAATTTAATCCTGCATACAAAAATAAATTTCATCTTCAGTCATCAATTTTTCTTCAGAAATCATTCTCATGTGTTGATTTACTCAACACATGAGAATGAATAAATTTACAGAATAGAAAACAATTGTAGCTGTTTGTTTGTTTGTTTTTTCTGGTCAATTTAATATATCATTGATGAATTTTTTATTTTCTAAAAAACAAAGATGAAACATAAAACCAACGTAAAACAAGACACTGTGCAACTAACCTTCTATCGACTGAGGTATGCAAATACATGTACAGTACATCTAAACAATTTTATTTTAACACTAAAACACACAATGCACAGAAATGTGCATACATAATCAAGTTGCCAGCTAAAGCTAAAACATAAGTATTAAACTTATTTCGCTTATGCAAGTTGTAATATTATTTACTATATCTGACAAAATTAATAAGTATATGTTTTTAGAGTCAGATCAGGTGGAAACACTGCACTGTAAAGTTGTGGGTGACAATTTATTTATTTATTTTATGCTAGAATTCACATTAATAACAAACTATAAACTATGACTATTTGGTCAATAAACTACCAAATAGCTGCTTATTAATAGTTCGAAAAGTACTTGTTGTTTACAGGTTCTGGTTAGGATTAGGGACATCAAATAAGATCATATTTTACAACTAAAAACAGTTAAAATCTCAATAACATGCAAAAAATTTCCCAGTAGTAAAATATTTGGAATTGTTGCACACTGGGATGTTTCCAATAGTTCAATTTGTTGGTTAATATTTATAATATATAAATAAATTTAATATAGGTGGCACGGTAGCTCAGTGGTTACCATGAGATTTCTGGTTCAAGTCCGAGCTGTGCCAGTTGGCATTTTAAAGCTGGATTGTTAGGTATTCTCTTAAATTCAAGGTGCAGAAGGTGATTTTCCTCAATGCTAAAAGCTTAGCATAAATCTCTGAATAACAGTCCCTCCCATGCCGTCTAGAGCCATGCCTCTTTAAACACGAGCACAGCAAAAGAACCCTCTCTCATGTGTTAAAAGTGACTAGTGCTTGTCCGGCAGTGTGCAAGCCAAACTGACATGCTATTTCAGAGTGAATATTAGAGTTGCATGGTAAACAATATAGGGAGACGCTAGCGGTATTTACTTGTGTTTTGTTGTTAAACTAATTAAAATCTACATTATCGGTGCTGTAAAAGGTCCCTTATGAAACTGAAAATAGTCTTATCAATCTTTCATCTGAAGATTTTAGTGGCTGAACAACACTTATGTGAAGATATAACCCGTTTGTAACAACAACTTCTAACATTACAGCTTTGCATGAAGCTAAAGCAGTTTTAAAACACAACATTACCTGTCTAAGAGAAATCCTTCAGACATTGTGTCATCCGTTCTCCAGCGTGCAAAGGTAACTCCAATATTGATTCAGTTTTTTAAAAAGTTTTGATTCAGCATGCTTTTACCGATCATGCGTGCGCTCTCTCTTGTGAACGTTCAAATCTGCATTTGCTGACAGACAGGCTGGGCTACTTATCGGAATTATGAAAGATGTCGGTTTGACTCTATTTAATTGGATGAAAATTTTTTAGTTTTATGCCTTACCCACAATATAAAAAATATATAAATACATTAAGATAAATTACTTCAATCATTACTATTGGACTGTGAAGAGACTTTCAACCAGCACAACAAAAAATGCTTCTGAAGACAGTCACCTACTGCACCTTTAAGTGAGAATGTACGTGTGGATTTAGTGTTTGAAAGGGTGACCACACTTGGCAGGTTTGGTCTGATTAACTCTATTGGGATTGCTATTTTAGTGCAGCACAGATAAAAAAAGTCTGGACACTGTCAACAGACCCTATGTACAGAATGGCTAAAAAAACGCTGGCTCTCTTTTTAATTTGGTTTTATTCAGCTGAATCATGAATACACCATGAAACACGGATATCTAATGTAACCCAAAACAAGCCACTATTTCAAAAGATTGAACACTAAAAAGGACACAGTTTGGTTACCAGGAGGTCTCTGGTTCGAGTCAGAGCTGGGCCAGTTGGCATGTCTGTGTGGAGTTTGTTGGGTTCCTTTGGACAGAGGTGGGAGTAAGTCACACATGTGCAAGTCACAAACAAGTCTCAAGCAAGTCAAGTCAATTTTTGTCAGACTCAAGTCAAGTCACTGCTTATCTCAAGTTGTCAAATCGTAGCTTGTTCTAGCAAGTCATTTTCAAGTGAATCAAATGTTTGTTGATTGTTTTTACTTTTGCAATTTCTTTTGCAATTTATATTTACATAAATAAGTTTTGGTTTTGTATGTAATGCATAATATATAACAAAAAGTTATGTTTTAACAAAAACAAGTTATTTCGAGTCATCTAACTCAAGTCCAAGTCAAGTCTCAAATCATGACAGTCAAGTCCAAGTTAAGTCGAGTCTTTTTTGGATATTTGTCAAGCAAGTCTCCAGTTCTAAATTTTGTGACTTAAGTCTGACAAGTCAAGACTTGTGAGTCCCCCCTCTCTGCCTCTGTGTACTCTGGTTTCCCCCATAGTCCAAAGATATGCACTATTAGTGAATTAAGAAAACTAAATTAGCCGTGTATGTGTGTGTGTGTGTGTGTGTGTGTGTGTGTGTGATTATGAGAGTGTATGGGTGTTTCCTAGTTCTGGTTGCAGCTGGAAGAACATCTGCTATTAAACTATAATTCAAGAGTTCACACTTTGCTGATGATATATAAAAGCTTGTTTGGCATGCTGTCCCGGGAGAGAGCCCCAAGCTCAAGGGCTCCTCGAGCCCGGGGCTTCCTCCCGTTGGCAGAGCAAGAGGGGAGCCTGAGCTCGGTGGATCTCAGAACTCCCCTGCTGCGGTAGCTAAGGGAACACAAGGGATTAGACAAAGCTTGATTGTTATGTATGTTGAATGTCTTTGGATGGTGGGAGGAAACCGGAGAACTCGGGGAAAACCCACGCGGACACGGGGAGAACATACAAACTCCTCACAGAAACACCCACCGGTCCTGTGGAACCAGGGCTGGCAGTGTTCTTGCTGTGGGGCTCACAGTGCTAACCACTGGGCCGCCGTGCCGCCCAATCAGAGGAAAAGGAGGAGAATAGGGGAGGAGGGGGGTTTCTTCCAAGCGAAGATAAAGTGAACTGAAAACTGTGGCTCTTTATAGTAGCTTAGGGCTCATATGATTGGAAGATAGTGATTAGCAAATGCGAGACCGGCCGTGATAAATCATAAGCACGTGATCCTCTCGAAATTAGTTTATGAATAAACTTCACTTGCGACCCCTGATAAATAAGGGACTAAGTCAAAAAGTTAGAATAAAGTATGACAAAAAAAAAATGTGCAAAACTAAACCAAATCAAAGTTTTAAGAACTTAAAACTCAACAATAAAACAAATATGATCCAAAACAGCTGTTTTTTTGTCCTTAGCAAAATGTTACAAGGATTTGAACGCTTTGCAGTGCAAGTTTTATAATAATTGCTTTGACAATCACACTGGCAAACGTGGCTCTAAAAAAGTCAAGTCTCTTCTTGATGAATGACTCCAAAAGAACATAAAGCGATCCTTCAAGCAATGAGTTGTGCAAAAAAAAATGAACAACAGCCCTGTTTGCTTGTTTAAGCGTTGTGCGAGAGAAATGACAGGATTCTGGGGGTGCAGAATTGTTTAGGCAGGATTCCAGCAGATGTTTGCGCATCTCCCGTTGCTCGTCTCTAGCTCTCGGCTATAAACATGTCTCATAGCGTCAAAAGAGACTCAGGCTATAGATGCTGTTACTCTAAAGTGGGTTAAGGAACTGTTGAAAAGACATGCATCTGAACTTGTGTGCATGTGTGTGTGTTTGGCTTCAGGTCAGGGTCTCTGGACCTCCAGCACCTGTAGCTTCTATGGGATTATCAGGATTACACCAGAGCCGCCTTGTCAATCAGAGAATGAGCAGAAGCATAACTGCTGCCCACTAATCCCCTTATCTCATCTGCCACACCGGGAGTGTGCGTGTGTGTGTGTGAGATGATGACTGTATCTACACTTCCTGGATTCACTGGAGTCTGAAACACATTCGCTTCCTGTCAGTTCAGTCTCTCCTCAAAAATAAAGTGACGAGACAAACACTTTCATCCGAGATTGTAGTTTAAAAGCTGGATTGTTTGGTATTCTCTTACATAAAGTGGGAATGGACGTGTGGATTTAGTGTTTAAAAGGGTGACCACACTTGGCAGGTCTGGTTTGATTATATTAACTCTATTGGGATTGCTATGTTAGTGCAGCTTTGTTGAAAAAGTGTGGACACTGTCAACAGAACCCTATGTACACAAAACAGAAACGGCTGAAATGGTGACTCTCTTTTTAATTTGGTTTTGTTCAACTGAATCATGAATACAACATGAACCATGGATATCTAAAGTAACCCAAAACAAGACACGATTTCAAAAGATGGAACCCTAAAAAGGACAGAATATCTGTTTATAGTTATTTTCAGTGGCGAGGCAGTGGCGCAGTGGGTAGCATGTTCGCCTCACAGCAGGAAGGTCGCTGGTTCGATCCTCGGCACAGTTGACGTTTCTGTGTGGAGTTTGCATGTTTTCCCTGCCTTTGCGTGGGTTTCCACCGGGTACTCC